ATCTAAAGGTGTCATAAAATCTACATATGAATAGTAAGTTACACCTGGTAATGAATGGCAATTGTAACCAGAAGGTTTAAATGGGTATCCTCATAGTTGAGATACAGGTATGATAGCTAGTGTAGAACCTAGGGCAGACTACTTAAATAGGCAACCAAAAGCTACATGTATGGCTAGTTGTACTCTCATTAGTAATAACCAGAGAGCTTAAATAGGTAATCTTCTAGTTAGATTGCAGGTATGGCAGCTAGTGTAAAACTCATGCGGACTACTTAAATTAGGTACCAAAAGTACATGTGTGGCTTGATATATCCTTGTTGTAATTGTAATATGAAATTAATAATCTAATAAAATGTTCCTGACCATAGAGATCACCTTAATATTAAAAATAATAATAATAATAATAATCGCAAGGAATTAGCAGGTTTCAATTTTGACTAGATAATCAATACAAGATTATAGTATTAAAATTTAATATTTACTTATAGTGCTAATAATTATTCAATAAACAGGATTTAGTATCCTATAAGGAGCATGTACTAGAATAGTTTTATGTTAATAAATTTTACCCTCTTTCACTCTAATGATTACTGACTTTGATGTGACTATACAATGCATTTGCTATAAGGGTTTTTTGAAACATTCTAAGGGTTTGTGTTCATTATATTATATATATTATCTATTTGGTTGGGGCTACAGGTTTATAAATAAGAATGCAATTTTGCAAGAAGAAATGAATAGACCTATCAGCTTAAAAAAGCATGTTGAAGTAATTGCAAAAGAAATTTTCAAATTCACTGAATTGAGACCTAAACAAATAGATGTGATAAAATTTTATATAGAAGAAAAAAAGAATATACTTGTCATTATAAAGACTGGTTAAAAAAAATCCTTTTGTTATATTGCTGCTTCTATTCTTTTTGATAGTTTTACAATTGTTATTTCATCATTAAAATCTTTGATTCAAAGTCAAGTAGTTAGTTAAAAAAATTAAGAGTTTAAAATTGAAAATTAAAAATCAGTAGTAAATACTGAATCAACACAGTCTTTAGAATTATTTTATCAAATTAGGAATCCCATGTGGTAGATTGGTAACTTTATCTCAAAGAACAATTAAATATAAATCAAAAATTTTTAAAGAAATAGTCCTTGGATTTACTCATTTGCTTTATGTTATACCAGAAAAACTGTTGCTTAATAAATATCTTAGAAAGCTATGCGATCGCTTGTATGAAAAAAAAAACTACAATTTGTAATTGATGAAGCTCATTGTATTTTTGAATTTTGTTACTTTAGGTAAAAATATAAAATATACTAAAAAATAAACTAAAAAATTATTAAAAAATAAAAATTTTTTTAAAGAGGAATGGGAAAAATTAGGTAAATTAAAAGAAAACTTTCTGATATTCGAATCATAGCTCTAACTGCAACTCTGTTCCAGGATAATGCATATGCTCTTAGAGACAATATGAATATTAATGTAAGTCATTTTGAAATTACAAAAGGTAGTGACCTATTGCATAAAGAGTAATATTTTTTAGTTCAAAGCTGATACAATAATAACTGGAATGGACAAAGCAAGTAATGAAGTTAATTAAAGACATAGAAGTTAGTTGCACAATTATCTATTGCGCATGGATCAAGGATTGTGAAGAAGCTTTTGAGGCATTAAACCTAAAAATAAGAGAAATACAATTGGATATATACCATGGGCAACTAAAAGAAAGTGAAAAAATAAAGGTAATTAAAAAATAAAACCAAGGTCTAACACATTTAATAATTGCAATATCAGCATTTGGTATAGGTATAGACATGTCTGATATTCACCTGGTTCTGTATTATAATTTTCTAATGAATATAAGTAAGTATATATATTACTTAGTATGTAGCTTCAATAAAAGAAAAATACTTATAATTTTTGCAAATAGCCAGTCAGATTCAACATTTGGGGTGGGCTGGACACGATCAAAAAACTTCAAGTTATGTTGTTCTTTATTCTGAAAAGGATATCTGCACTAAGTATACTATTATTGCAGGTGATAGAGAAAGGTATCATTATTATCCTTTTTATTTGTTTTTTTGTATTATAAGTCTCAATAAAATTATATCAATTGTAGTAATGAAAATAATGATGAAAAAACCCTTACTCAAGAACTATACCTAGCTAAAGCATGACATGAGCTATTTGAAGTAATGTATTATTATTTTACCTTATATAAGTGCCAGTTTCAACTAGTGTCATGATATCATACATGGCCAAATGATCTAACCTCTCCAGATTGTAATTCATGTGATAACTGCAAAAAGTGTTCAGAAGATAAACCAGAGCTTGTTGATGCGCAGTCAGACATTTTAGAGTTGCTAATAGTTATTATGGTATTATGTGAGAATAATGATAAGCTGATCATGCCTGCAAATGTTGTTAAAGTTTTTGGTTGTTCAAAAAGTGCTCGACTTCTGGGTAGAGGGTTAATTATGCTAGAACTCCTTGATCACTTAAAGTCTAAGAAACTATACACAAAACTATTAGCTGAACTAGCATTGGCAGACTTGGTTTGTCGAGGCTTCATAAAACAGACTATTTGGCTGGAGAGAAAAAGTAATAAGTATTTGATATCTAGTGTACTTATAGAAGATGTGAAGGAAAATGTGAGTTCACTCGCAAAACATGAAATTTGGTCATACTAGAGAAAATAACTGTAAAATTTTCTTTATTACAAAAAATTAGAATTAGCGTTTAGGTCAGCATTAAAAATTTGTTGTGCACATATTGGTTCCCTAACAATTACTGTGCAATATGCACAAAAAATAAAATAACATTCCTGTATAAAAAAATTTTTTTTGCTACAACATATTTGTGCAATAAAATCGCTAAAGAAAATTAATAAAATTAGCTCAAGTGCTTTTTTATATGGAAATTTCTAGAATCACATGTAGAAATTGATTTTCATGTACGTTACACAAAAAATTTGCATACCGATAATACCGATACGGGTTCATATGAAAAATGATCTACGTTCACCCTACCCTTAGAGTGCTAAGTAGAAATATTTCTAACGGAAATAACTATTTTTCTTTTTTTAAGATTAAAAGATCTTAAGTTGGGTTTTTAAACAAAACAAGGTTGTTAATAAGGAGGTCAATATAATGTATAGAATAGACTTTAAGTTAGATCAGTTCTTGAAGTGTATTAAGATTTACTAAAGGTCTTGGTTATATATAGTGAAATACAGCGTTTAAGCTTGTTAAAAGTAATAATCGCTTTAATATATATATTTTCTTTATACGTTTATAGCATACTGTATCTTTCGAATATATATTTTTGATTTATGCATTTTCTTTTTACGTATAAGGCTTCGTTTTCTTATGTCAATTGTAATAAAGCAATGAATTTGATTGGTCAATAATCACGGGTAGATCTACAAAATTAACCAATCAGACTAACTTCTGTCTATGAGTTCTCAGTAGCATTCTCACGGGAACAGTTACGAATAAACTTGAAAAAATTACATAAAAAAAGAACGTTATCATAATATGGTAAAGAAATAATGAAAACTTACAGTGAATAGCTTTATTATATTTGTATAACATAAATATAATTTATGTTATTAATATTTTCTTCATTAACATTTGCAATCTGAATATGTATTGGGCTTGAAATTCAGAACGATGTAACCTATTTCATATTTTTCTATGCATAATTTTTTACTTAGATGACGCAAGAATCGAAATAGCCTAAAATATCTATTTTAGGAGTATTTTTTCGGAGTATTTTTTCGGAGGGCTGAATTTCGACAAGACATGTGCTTTTCTCGGTGCTACTCAACTTCTGGCTTATGTAATTGTGATACGTATAGGGATTTTCTGAAAGGATATACCGTGTACGTAGCATGTGAAAACTATTAAAAAAAAAAAGATTGATTAAAATTATCCATCTGCAGTTTGCAGCTTAACGATACGACGACTTTTAAAAAGTTTTATTTTTAAGTATCGATGTGTTATGTACTCACGCACGTACCAGGTCGTACGTACGTACATACGTAATTTTGCTCACCGAAATTTGAAGTTAGTAATTTTATGATCAACTATTTATATTCAAAAACGTAAAAGCTTACTAATAATCTGGAGAAAATGTTGATTACCTGATTATCTTGGGAATATTGACTCGGATCAAACCGAAAGCAATGAATGAATTGATATTTTTGGAATAAACCAAATTTTTTTGTTTATTTACTCGAATATCCAACAGCCATAAATTAATTCAGTAATTACTGATCTTTTCTAACCTTTTTTATTTAAATAATGATTAAGTGACAATTAGTTACTGTTTTTAGCGCAGAACTAATTTCACTACCATATTCCACTAGCGTTAAGGACTGTTATTTGCATTATTTAACCAGAACAAGGTCATGAAACAGGGATTCGGAATTTTGTCCTTGGAATATACACTCCGAAATGTTTTTGTTTGTGAAGGCGTAAACCATTCTCATTCATCGATCTGTTACATTAGCCTAATGAATTTCCTTAAAAAAACTAATAGAGACGGAAAGAATTGATTATTTAGTAAAATATCTATTCGAATGAATTAAGAAAAAAAAAAAAAGAATAAATATATAAAAAATAAAACTTGACTTATAGAACAGAAACTGTTTTTATAAAACGCAATATCGTATTACGCACTTTACGTATTAACTGTTATCTTAATATTTTAATAAGTGGTAATAATATCAAAAACATGTCTGATAACATTCCTCCTACCTTATATGTCGTTCGTACTGATGATGAGAGTAATTGTTTTATTCTTAAACTAGCTGAGAATAATTACTGGCTAATCGATAGTGCACCCGCTCGCTTTCGATGTTATCAATATTTTAAATTTGCTATTTTAAAACGTAAAATAACAAATTTTAAAGGGATTACTATTACAAATCCGCGTAAGGAACATTTAGAGGGCATGACTAGGTTTTTCAAGGAATATATTTTATCTAAAAGTATTCATGCTAAAGAATTTCCAAACCTTGACTTTTATGTTGTTCTTACTGAAAAGTTCAGAAATGAAGAGATTATCGATATTCTAAAAGACATTGGATTTGAACTCGATAATAATGTACCAAAGAAATTCGAGTATTCTAATATAACTATGGAATACTTTTTCCATAAAAATGGGAAGCCATTAATTTTGAGACATAAAAAAAGCGATAAACATGACATGAATGCAGTAGGCAATAACGATAATGTGACACTGATGAGAAATAAAGCAAAAGTTCAAACAGATTTGTCAAGTATACTGACATATTTACAATATGAAAACAACGAAATTAAAAAATCGATGTTACTCACGAGTGACAATGTCGTTACATGGATACAAAAAATTTTGGCTACAAAGTTAAATATATATCAGCAAGCAAAACTAAATAAACGGCCATTTATTGATATTTTTCAAGTACCCAACCATGGAGCAAGATTCAATTCAATGATTGCAGGACCTAATGTTAATCCACCCAAATATGTGAATCAACAATTTGCTTTAATGGCAATTTTATATTATGGCGGTCAATTTGATTTTAAAGATCTTAATAATAAAACAAATATTGATATTGAAGCCGATTTCGAAATCATACTAAACTTTACTAATTTTGAAACATTTAAGAAAGCGGCCCTGTTACAGGAATATACTCAATCTCATTCTAATCCAAATGCAATTAAACGTTTTTTAAAAGCGATGGCAAAAGCATTAATTATTCAGGGATCTTCAAAAAAAACCAATAATGTCAATTGGGATTGGGATGAAATCAATTGGCCAGAAGTTGCAAGAAAATTATATATTATTTATTGTATGAATCAAACTACCGATTCACATTGTTGGCCAAAGTATGACTTTATTAAAGACATAATTGATATCCCTGATAAAGATAATATTGATCCGTATTTTAATCATCCATATTTTGATAAAACAACAAGAAAAAAAATTATTGAGAAACAACTTTATTCGTATTTTAATAGTATAAAAGAGAGAATATACGAAAATTTTGATATCATTATTTCAATAAAAAATAAAAAGAAGAAAAGAAATCGCCGTCCACAATATGCGACTCATTTGCGACCATTACTCATTCCTATGTGGAATAGCCTTGATACTTCTCCTTTAATGTTTCGAAATATTGTATTTTCTATCTCAAATTTTTACGAATCATTTATAACGGGAACCTATATAATCTCATCGGGTGCACAGAAAGGCCATCCAGATCCATTAGTAATTATTGGAATTATTAAGTCAATTTTGGAGGATTTAAATGAAGAGAGAAGTGCAAGGATTTTGTTGACAAGTGGATCGAAAATTAATATGAATTTAATATCATCAGCCGTTGATAGCTTGTTGGGGTATAAAGAAAAGAAATCATGTTATATAGATAAATTTTTAAACCGGCGCATTAAAATTTATTCAATTCGAGATAGTTCTTGTGAAGTTGGTGTTAAGCTGTCTGACAGTGAATTCGAAGATCCAAAAAGTGTAAGACTTTTGAAATGGAATAATTCTGAGAAAGCTGAAATCAAAAAAATTTCCGATACTTTTAAAACTATTCCGGAACAACCAATAAACAAAATCTCTAAATCGTATATAAAGATTTTAATCAATGACAAAAAACTTTGGCTCGGTGTAAACGAAAAAGGCGATTTGATTCCTTCCGATAAGCCAATTTTATTTACGATTTCAAACGTACCATTTTTGGACCAAATTGCGTATCGAATATCTAGCTGCGACTTCAATTTTATTGTTAAATTTGAATGGGCAATTAAGGATGAATATAATAAATTTTATCTAGTCGATTTAAATACTGATCAAGATCTTTATTATGCACTTGAATACGATGTTGATGATGATTTCTATTTAGTAGATAAAAGTACAATCGATGACTTTGAAGAATCAACACCTTTACCACATTTCAGGAAGATACCTCTTAAGGAGAAAGAGAATGCACTATTATTTAATTTTTCAAAGAGTTTACGTGATAATTTTACAAATCAATCAACAAAAAAAAGAAAAAGTGGAAAAACGTTGAGCAGTTACTTGATGGAGCTTGGTGAGCATAGTGCACTTTCGGGTTTGACAATTTTGAACGCTCTTAATTATATAATAAGAGCTAGTAATGTCAAAAAAGTATTCAAATCGCTTCCAGATAAATGCTTACTTTTTAAAGCCAAATCAGACTCTGAAGTCGAATGGGAAATTACTGAGAATAATCTATTTAAAATAAAAAATGCCATCATTAGATTAGATGAATCAGAACTTCTAAAATTTCACACTTCATTTCCTTTTTACAAACATGCAACAGCTATGCAAGTAAATATTAAAAATCCGCAGCTTGATAATTTGCAAATAGAAATTAAGATATTCTTGAATAATAACGGGTCAAAAAGTGAATCTGTGTTGACGCCTGAGATATTTGATATATCTCAATCAAAATCTGTTTATGATTATCTGCTAAATGCAAATGTTCCTCAAAAAAAATGGAAAGACCTTCGACTTAGTTATCTAAGCTCATTAATAATGCCATCATTAATTTTAGTGCCGGAATTTTTAAAAGTACCTTTACCTTTCTTATCGGGTACCTCTTTACTAAATCAAAAAATCAATAAAGAAATTTCAGATATCAATTTCGAAATCGGCCCTACTGGTGCTAGATTAATTCGAACAGAAGTCTTTTTGGATATATTAACAATTGAAGATATATTTCAACTTGATGGCATCCAAATTTCACAATTGACTGATATTAAAATTACGACTATTAACTCGGATGCTGTTAATGGTGATCCAAATATAACCATTGAAGCTTGTGCAAATATCAAAGATAATGCTGTAAAGATATTAACTCAAAATGAAGATGAACAATTTTTATTAGTCAAATTTAACACTAATAAACTCGTTAATATTGCAGAAGCTTTAAATGTTGGTGAAAATGTATTCAATAAATTTAAGGTTCCCTTATATGATGTGTCCTTGGATAAATTTCTAAATAAAGTTAATCCAGAATTTAGCTTATTATTCCATCCAGTAACTGAGCCTCCAACAATGAATTTTAAGCTTAAAAATATTAGTATCTTTGTGAACAATTTCCTTACAGTGGAGAAATTTGTACCTCCTCAGATTTGTCGACATTTAAAACTAACGAATGCATCCATTGATATATCTATATATGATCCATTGAATATAGACCAATTAGATATAGAAAATATAATGATTGGTTTAAATATCAAACTTAATCTTTTAACCACGGACAATAAAAATCTTCTTGCAAACCTCTCATATCTTACAGTTAAGCAAGCCATGTCGATTTCTATCAGACCTCAGGATTTATATGATGACAATAATCCATTAAACTTGAAAGAATTGTTAAAGGCCATTGAGTTGTATGACACCTTTGAAAAAATTAGTAAATTCTCGTTAGTATTATGGCATCATGTAAAAGACTTAGAGTCCGTAGGTTTTCAATATCTTGACTTGCAAATTAAATTGAATGAGCAAGGAACTACTTATGAAATTGGCGACTTCAATCTTGGAATTTTAATTCCGAGATTTATAATTAAAAAGGACGTTATTGAAGTTAGAAACGCAATAGTAGATCTAGGGTATAATAGCGACCAATGGTCTGGAAAAATTCAAGGTGTGGGTGAAATAATCGGAAAAGATAGAAAGAATAATTGTCATATCGAATACATGTTGCCTACAAAAGAGCAGTTGGGAAATCTATTAATTAATGACATTACTGAAGATCTTTCTTTAAAAGAAGCCCTTCAAATTCTTCAACTTGAAAATACTTCAATATTACCTGCCCTTGAAAAATTTTTTGAACACATGAAAATTTCAGAGATTAATATCAATTTAGTTAATTCAGATCGGTCTGATTTTATTATTAACGATTTGTCATTTATTCTACAAAAAGATAAACATGTGCTAAAACCTTTAACTATTAAGCAATTGGAAGTAAATCTTACCTATTTTCCACCAAAAAATAATACAGATTCTGCCATATGGAAATTCAGTTTCGAAGGAAGTGTTAGTACAATGATTATGACATTAAACTATAATAATGAAAAAATTCATGCCGCCTTAACTCCAGTTAAAAATACAAGACTTAAAGACGTCATAGAATTGCTCGTAAAAACGCCAGAGTTTTCTGATAATTCTATGTATTATGAGATATTTGATTCAGAAATCACAGACGTCAAAATAACCATTGATATTAGTGGTGATAACATGCATATCGAAAAATTTTCAACCAAATTAGTAAAAATATTATCGTATGGCGAATTCACTCTTGACGATCTATTATTTAAATGTGAAAATGTGAATATGGATAAACATGATAATAATCAAATAATTCTACCTCACAAAAAGTACACATTGGACGCTATTATTTCTCGTAATATAGCTAATGACAAAGTTAGTGCAAAGATAAAACTTGATTGCTCTGAAAATATAGTGGATGCCTCTATTACTTCATTTCAAAGTCATTTTTTATTATTAGACATATTAAAAATTTTAATAGGATATGAATCTAATTTACCAAATTTGTTACCAAAGCTGCCTAATTTTCCAAATTTTGATAATATTGAATCTGATCAAAAATTTTCGGTAAAAATTTTGATAAAACCATTCAAAATAATGGGATTCAATATTTCTGCACAAAGTGAATCTTTTTATGAAGTCCTGAAAAAACCTTCAATATATTTGCAACCACTTGGAATATCAATAAGTTACATGTATGATTGTGATAGTCAAAAAGAAAATCTTGAAGGGAGATTATATGGAATATTCATTTTAAATGATGGTAGCAAGCTCAAATTAGAATTTGCGAGCTCAATGACTAAAGATAGTGATATAGTTATTGCAGGTATACAAGTTTTTGAAGGTGAAAGTTCTATCCATATATCAACTGTTGTAGATACGCTGTTAGATGATAATTATGAATGGCCGGGGAAAACTCCTAAAGAAATGAGATCACCCAAATTCACCATAACACCTGAAGTGAAAGCTTACCTTCATATTAACCTCGTCAAGAAATCTGTAGCTTTATACGCAACAATCGAATCAATTGGTAATTGTTTGCTTTTGGTTAAAAATATGAATGAAAAACCTTCAACAGGTGTAGTAATGGAATCACACTCAATTGCCAATGAATTTGGATATTTATTTGCCTTAAGGACTTCTAATAATTTTCAATTTGAAGATTTATTTAATTTATCGGACGTTGTGTATAACATTGACACAATGTTGTCCTTATTGCAAGGTAATCTTATTCTTGTATCGTTTCAAGGTGCCCAATTTGAGAAGGCTAAAAAGGAATTAAATGATATAATTAAAGAATTCAATGATGTCTTAAACCCAGATAAACAAATTAAATTTGAAGATATTCTTTCAATTAAATTGCCAGATCACGATATTTATAAAAACGAGAAATTAGTAAAAGGAGCAAATTTATACGTAAATTTAAATTACCACTCAATTTTATTAAAAAATCTTCGAACAATATCAAATTTAGATTCTAGTTCACAAAAAATATTGGTTGCGTTATCTTTAGGTGTTGGCGCGTTGTCAGAAAGTGAATTTAAAGCAACAATTGAAGATTTAACACTTTATGGTGGATTAAGTTTCGAGTCAACCTCATTTTACTACAAACCTAAAATAAAAGAATCTGAATCTAGATTAATTGTTGCTGGAAATTTGAATTTTACTGAACTACTTAAAACAAAATTTATTGTTAAAGGAATTTTAGATAACGGTGAAAAAGTTTCATCATTCACAGCGGACTCAAAGTTTTTAGAATCACAATCTATTAAAAATCCATTTGAAAAAATGATCGGAATATGTCTTTACGGAATTGAATTTACCATGAAACTTATACGTGAAAATAATAAAAAAAATCCTAGTAGTACGTGTTTATTAAAAGGCAAAGTTGATTTTAATTCAGAAAATCAGAATATGAAGACGATTTTAGAAGGAAACGTTCTATTTGTAGATGGGAAACCTCGTATTTGCACTGTAACTATTAATAAAAAAATTCAATTTATACATTTACTTGCAACAATATTTTTTGAGAAAAGTCAAGATGAAAAACCTAACTGGAATCAAGAATATCCTGATATTATTTTAAATGATGGAGAGATATATTATACATTTATACCTCCAAAACACAAAGAAGATAAAATAGAAATCGACGGAAAAGTTTATTATAAAGGTTATAATATTAGTGCACATATAGATTTCTTCGGAATGAACAATCTTTTAATCACCGCTCAAATTAATAATGGAATTATAATCAAAGCTGATAGCGGGAATTCAGAAATTAATTTGGGATTTGTTAAAATTATTAAATATAATTTGATAATAGAATCAAATTCAAAGAGTAAAAGCATTAGTATTGATGGTAGTCTCAAACTATTTGATATGAACCCCGCTCAATTCCATCTAGATTATAAAAAGAAATCAAAATGCCTTGAAGGAAAAATTGAAATAAAAGGATCTTTGCTTGGAGTAGATGATCCAGCAATCGAAGGATATTGGTCTAAAAAGAAAAAATTTGTTATTACTAAATGGCCGAGCTTTTGTCAATTGTTTTGGGAGGCTACAGAATTTGCAAGAATAATTGAAGAGGCTTCAGTTAATTTATGTAAAGCTATTATTTCCGATCTTAATTTGAAAGAAAAGTTTGAAGGTCATTTCAATATTGATTTAGAACAGCTTGAAACTCATAGTGATGCTTTAGTGTCTTTTTTAATTACAGGGAGTTACTTAATAAGAATAAAAGGTGGAAAAGAAGAGTTAACAGAAATTACAAAAATTGATATTCTTCCAATTCAATTAGATATAAAATATCCTAGTGATATATCAAAGTATTTTGAAGAAGAACTACCAAAAAATGCTGTAAAATTCTTACAAAATTTATTGAATGATCCTGAAAAATTTGTAAAATTTTTAGGAGGTTTGTCAATTGCTACTTTGATTAACTTGAGCGAACCTGCATTAAAGGGATTGGTATGTTTTGCTGGGAATGAAATATTTAAATTAGCAAAAGTTACATTTGATGCGATGAAGAAAAGTGCAAATAACATTTTAAGGAATAGACAACCTAAAAGTAAACCTTCAGAAGAGATGATTAAAGCAGTTGAAAAGGCAATAACATTAAGTGATGCAGTAGTTTTGGCTAGTCCACTGCTTTTAATAACAGGAGAGTGGGTTGTGTTTTTTGCTTTTGCAATCACCTTGATAACAGTTGACTTAAAAATTCTCTATGGTGATCAATCCGAAGAAGAAAGAAAAATTAGAAAGGAAAAAAATGAAATGAAACTAATTGATAAAAGAATAAAAGGTGTGCTAGAAAGATTTTTAAAAATGGACAATTTAACCCCAGGGCTGGAATTTTGTTTGGATAATTCTTTAAAGATCAAATGGAACGTTCCTGAAGATGCAGAAAACGATAAGTTAGCTGGAGAAATTTGTTATAAATTGCAGATTACTATTTTTGGAAAGGAACTGGTAGAAAGGAATTTTATTGTTATTGTTGGGAAAGAAGAAATCGAAATGGATAAATTGGATCATAAAAGATTATCATATGTGTTTATAGATAATTTATTAATGAAATGTGAAAAAGTTTCAGTCAAAATAACAGCAATTCTTCGACAAGGTAATCAAAACTACACAGGTTCGCAATCTAAAGAAGCTGAAATCGAGCATAAACCCAAATTGTATCCTCCAACAAAGTTAACGTCTACATATGATTCACGCCACAAAATTCTTACCACTAAAATAGTTTCAGAAGACAAAGATACTCAACAATACTATTGCGAATTATTCAATGTCAGTGCTAATAAAGGTGATAGTTTTGAATATAAAGAGGTAGTTTATTCTGAAGTAATTGACATAAACACTTTAGATTTAGAAAATACTTTATGGAAAATTTATACAGAAGAAAGATTAATACTCGGTCTTGGTGGCAATTACAAAATCCGCGTTTCAGCAAAGGCAATTAATTGGATAGAGAGTGAATTTACATATGCTAATGAAGTAATAGCACGACTGTCTCCTCCTATATCAATAGGATTTAAGCATACCTATGACATTTATGAATATCTTGAAATAATAATAAAAGATACAATAGATCAGAAACAATTACGTGGCTATACATGCGATGTTATAAATGATAAAGACGTTATTTATTCTTTACCAAATAATAAAATATCATTAAATCCACCAAAATTAAAATTAGATGAAATAAGAGATATAATAAAAAAAACCGACTACTGAACACTTTATTCGTGTCAAAAAAATTGCAAAAGAGGAATCTAATTTGATGAATTCGAGTTATACATTATCTAGTAAATCATTTAAATTTTTACCTCATGTAAATAATATCAATGGATCATATAATATAGATAATAACATATTGAAAATTTCATGGGATCTAGTTGAAAATGCTTCATTATATGAAGTATTTTTACTAGCTCATGGTCAACGTTTGAAGCTTGACAGAATCTCAGAAACTTTTATTGAATATGATATACAGCAATTTGACAAACAAATAACAAAGAAGCAAATAAGCAATTCCGACTGCCAAATTACTATATATAATTGCACAATTCAGGCGAAAAAAGGTAAAGAATTTTTTGATGGACCAGTAACTCGCATTGATAAAGGCTTTGAACAACTTCCAAGACCTACAAATGTTGACATGGAAAAAAATTCAAATAAACTTCATATTTCCTATACACCAATTACGCTTTCAGATAGGTTGAAAGAGAAATTCAAAGGATACAAAATTAAATTGTACAATATACAGTCATCAAATGAGCGTTTGGC